TATATATATAAAATCTCTAATTTCTGTAGTCAAAACTTTCGCATCAAATGAGACGGAATAAGTATATCAAAACAGTCAAAGTTGAAAAATAAGTGCAATAATACATAAGCAATTTCAAATTCATCAATTTTTTAGCATACATAGTCGTCAGAGCTGAAAAATAAGTACACTGAGCTTCTTTCTTACGAAACACTAGAGAAAATAATAACTTGGAAAAGAGATCACGTGTGACGTACTAGTAAATCTCTAACTATTATCTAGTAAAAATGTAAATTAATTTACTTTCATAAATTAAACTAGACTAATAAAATAAAAATAAATTTACAAACGTCAATACATATAACTTATATCACTAAGGAAATTACTAGTTTTCAACAGTTCAAGAATTACCTGATTATTTCTAATGCATATAATTAATTTTTCAACAATTCAAGAAAGTACGGTATATAAATTATTTCTTATAGCACCATCATCTGTGACTAAAGTGCTACATTTTGTTTATCCTTTTACAAAATAATTTTGCTTTCGGTCGAGCAATTGTGAACAAAAGAATTAGTAGTATGTCCAGGAATTTCCCTTCCCTCCACTCCATTAAATAAGGGAAAATTTTAAGAAATAGATATTTCATATTTAGAAAAGTAAATAATACCGTGCGACATAAGTTGTAATAAACACGTGATCAAGTATCCTTGGCGGCGAATAACTTTTTAAATTAAAAAAAAAATCTTCATAAATATTTAGGTGGACCAGATTATGTTCTTCTCCATTTCATTTTGGGGCTAAGTACCTAATTTGTACAGCACATTTTTAATGATGATGCCTTAACTTTACAGGTTCTTAAATGGAGACCTCAACTTGTAGATAACAAATATTTTAAACGCATCAAGTTGTATTAAACAACCTTCTTTATTAAATACAAATACTTGTGCTAGACAGAACATAATACAATATATGATGTTAATAAGTTAAGTGTGTGCCATGACTTGACGACAGGATTTATTCATTGCTGGAAGTGACACATCTGCTATAACAACAGAATGGGCAATGGCAGAACTTCTTCGAAAACCTCAAGTACTTAACAAAGTAAGAGAAGAAATACTTCAACAAATAGGCACAGAAAGACCAGTGAAAGAATCAGACATTGAGAAACTTCCATACCTTCAAGCAGTTGTAAAAGAAGCAATGAGACTTCATCCGGCAGTTTCATTACTCTTGCCACACAAAGCCCAAAATGATATACAAGTGTTGGGCTACACTGTGCCTAAGAACACTCAAGTTCTCGTGAATGCTTGGGCAATTGGAAGAGATCCAAAATCCTGGGATAAGCCACTGGAGTTTATGCCTGAAAGATTCATAAAGTCTAGTGTGGATTACAAAGGTAGGGACTTTGAGTTTATACCGTTTGGCGCCGGCCGAAGAATTTGCCCTGGGATGCCACTTGCTATAAGGATGGTGAATTTGATGTTGGCTTCTATTATTCAACCATTTAGTTGGAAGCTACCTGATGGAATGGCACCAGAGAAATTGAACATGGACGAACAGTTTGGAGTTAGCTTGAGGAAGGCTGTTCCTCTTGTTGCCATTCCTATTATGGAAGAAAACAAGGTCATTGTTTAGTCTATATAATGTGATTTGCCATTTCTTTATTATTATTTTTTAATAACCTTATGGGACTGTTTCTTTGAGCTATTTGATTGTGAGAAGTATTATGGGTAAGGTTTGAGTGTTAATTGGAGAGGAGAAACTTGAAACTAATAACGAACTTCAACATCTTGATTAATATTTTTATGGCTACTCATTAGGTGAGTACCAATTGCAACTTTGATTTGTGTCCGATTAGGGATAATATTGAATTCTACCATATGCTTAGAAGTTCTATTTTACTTTCACCATATATTCGCTTTCTTGTTTAAATAATTTCTACTTCATTCCTTGTGTTCCTTGATTCAAACTCCATAGTGCTTTCACCCCATATTACCTTTACATTATCAACTTTATGTCCACTCTACTACTTACTATTATAATATAGTAAATATCTTCCGAACTAGCATTTCATAAAGAAAAAAACAAAAATACAAAAAAAATGTTACTCTATTGCAAAGAATTGACTCGTAAAGAAAGTGATGGTTCTGCTGCCTTGGGCTCAGAGAAACCTGAACTCAATCCCAACTTAAGGCCCACAATAAAGACTGTATACATCCCTTTTTGTGGGCTGAAGACCAATTATTACTATAAGGCTCATAAGTGTGAGCACCTAATTTTTGCCCTAATATAAAATTACTTCTAAAAAATTCAAAAAATAGCTTTAAATTATTTTTCTATATTTTTTCTTAGTTTGCTTTGTACGTATTCATATTTGATGCATTTTTAAGTTGCATTTAAAATCCTAAAGAAAATACAAAAATATTTTTAATTTTTACATTTTTTAGATTTTAATTGCATAATCAATTGCATTTGTAAAATACTAAAATACCAAAAAATACATTAGTAACTCTACATGCATTGGTTAGCTAAATGAATTAGTTAATTGTAGAAAAATAGGTCATTAGGTTAATTTTGCAAATTAATTAAAATTAGGAGTGTTAAATAAATTGATTAGTTTTGCAAAATACAAAGAAAGAAAAAAAAAGGCTATGGGGTCTCATTACAGCTTTTGGCCAGGTACTTCTGGTGGCTCATTTTCTTTCCATTCGCCCCAACCCACTACCCGCCGGCCCAATATCCCCTCTTCATCTCTAAAATACAGCCTAGTTCCCCTATCCATCAACCCTCCCCATTTTGAAAAAAAAAACTAGCAGCCTTCCCATTTCTTCAACACCCAAGTCAGCCGCCGCGATCAATCCCCAATTCTCTCACCTTCATCTACACTGATCCCCACTCACTGCATTCACGCATAATAGCAGCAAAAACAAAAATTCAAAACAAAATTTGGGATCTAAAAAACGCAAGAGGAGTTCTGAGAAGAAGAAGAAGAAGAAAAGCAATGGAATCTGAGATTGGTTTACAGTCAAAACAATAAAATGAAACCGTAACTATTTCTGCTGATTCAAAACCAAGTCCTCCTTTATTTCTGGGCTTTAAATCGGAGCTAGTTGGGATTATTTGTCGTTTGCTGTTGTTCGCTGCCGGGAGCTTGAAATTCATCGTCTATTTCCCGACCTTTGCTTCGTCCTTAGTGATGTTTTACTGCTTTAGGTACGTTTTTATTTTGTTCTCTCACATCTGTATTTTCAGATTTTATCTCTCCAATATAGTGAATGATTTTAGTGAATTGTTGTTCTTCGGTGTTAGCTTGTCCTTATTTGGATCGGTTCATCATTTGATGCTTGGAATTAAATCATATTTTTTTTTATACAATTGTTACATTGGTGTAATAGTTTGATTTTAATATGGACAGTAAGTTTGCTTAACTAGCTCAAATGAATTTGAGTGATGAGATTTGATTTAATAAGCTCTACCATATTTTCGTTGGTCATTATTTTGGTGGCTGCTAGATGTTGTTAGCTTTAATATACGTTCATTTTTTAGTATTAACTTGCTAATTGAGTTTGGGCTACTGCCTTACATTCTGTTAATTTTCATTGTGAGTTAATGAATATTAAGTTTGTTTGGTTGAGCTAACTAAATTAAGTCTTGGGATTAAGAAATGAGTTTTGAACCCTTACAATTAGTGGATAGTAGGTTACAAGGAACCAGAATTGGGGTTTGATATTACCTTGGAAATTTGGGCTTTAAAATGATGATTCAATGTTGAGGACAGTTGGGCAAAGTGAATAATTGGCTAAATGGGCCAACGGACAACTTGCAGGAGTTCGTTAGTATTGATTGTTCAAAAATTGCTTCTAATATCTTCATTTGTATTCACAAGCACACCGGGCCTTTACAATTAGTCTCAAATATAGGGAAACAGTTTATCAATACGCTAGATGGCTTTAAGCACACTCCTAACCAAATCAAATCATCGTGATTATGTACACATTCGCGTGACGCGGTTACGATTTCTAAAACAATAGGTGCGCGACATCACGACTTATTTAAATAAATTTCATAAATATTAAAAGCGATAATGCACAAAAGGTTCTAAAACATGCAATAATTCAGATAATTAGGCCAATTATTAATAGTTGAGTGATCGTGCTAAAACCACGGAACTCGGGAATGCCTAACACCTTCTCTCGGGTTAACAGAATTCCTTACCCGGTCTTCTGTGTTTGTGGACCATAAATAAAAGTCAATTTCCTTGATTCGTGATTTAAAATAAACCGGTGACTTGGGACACCATAAATTATTCCAAGTGGCGACTCTGATCAAATAAATAATCTCATTTCGAATATTGTCACTTTAATTGGAAAAACTCCCCTACTCCCTTCGAAAAAAGAAGGTGTGACAATAAGTGACGGACATTTATGTAAAGATAACTATGAACAGGTTCTATTTCTGTCTTCACTGCCATCCAGGGATCATGCTATAATAAAAAAAGGAAAGCCCAAGAAGAAATTAAGAAGAAAATTAAACAAATGATGAATATGGTGAAACTCGAAGAGACCTTTTAATAGTTCCTAGCATATGCTAATTTCTAGGCGTAGACAATAAAATTGCAACAAAAAAATAATCGAGACCAGAAAATATTGCAACAATCGTATTATTTTATTTTAAGTAATATGAGTGTACAATCTCTATGATTTCTCTAATTCTTCTTTTCTAATATAAATTCAAGGATTTTTGAGCTTGATCTTGAATTTATGCTTGTTTCCACGAACGATGATCTTGAATTCAACTAGCACGAATTTGAACTCGTACTCTTTGAACCTTAATTTGTTCTTCGTTCTTGAGCTTGAACTTGAACTTGAACTTGATCTTGATTGCTTGAAACTTGAAGCTTATAGAGATATTTGCGGCGTTTGATCCACGAACTTTCTTTTGCTTCTTGTTATAATTTCTAATCTCTTTTTTGAGATATGAAGACCCCTATTTATAGTTGTAGGAGAGAAAAATTGTTGATGAGAACAAACTCTTTCCGAACAATCAAATTGAAGCGCAACAAGGCCGCGTTAGATTGGTCAGAACATGTCATTTGCAGATGTGGCACAGTTTCATTAGCCTTTTAAATTGACTTGGCATGCCTTGTGTAACAACTCAACCGGTCATTTTGAGCATTTTCATTGCATTCAGTTGTTTGAGGCCTTGAGTTGCTTCATATGATACATTATGACTTTTGTGAATAGTCGGTTTTGGTTTTCAGGTGATCCAAAGTTGATTTGGAAGAACAATTCTCAATTAGAAAGCTTTAAATTGAAAGAATTGATCAAGTTTGACTTTTGTGTATTTGACCTCGGATCGGAGTTTTGATGGTTTCGTTAGGTCCGTATGGTGATTTTGGACTTGGGCGTATGCCAGGATTTGCATTTGGATGTTTCTTGAAGGTTCTAACGTTAATTGGCGAAAGTTGGCAATTTGAAATTTTGGAATGTTCATAAGTTTGAACGGAAGTTGACTTTGGTAATATCGGGTTCGGATTTTGGTTCCGAGAGTTGGAATAACTTCGTTATGTCATTTGAAACTTGTGTGCAAAATTTGAGGTCATTCTGAGTTGATTTGATATGGTTCGGCACGAGTTTTGAAAGTTGAAAGTTCATTAAGTTTGATTTGAGGTGTGATTCGTGGTTTTTATGTTGTTTGATGTGATTTGAAGCTTCGAATAAGTTTGTATCGTATTTTAGGACTTGTTGGTATGATTGAATGGGGTCCCGAGGGCTCGTGTATATTTTGGATCATTGGTTGAGAAACTAGTTAAGTTTAGGATTTGGAGTTTGACCATGGTCAATATCGGGTCAAGACGACATCTTTTTGGTATTTTGAGTATCTTTTTGGTGTTTTGAGTGAGCGAGCAAGTTCGTAGCGTGTTTTATGATTGAAATACATATATGGTTTGTATACAGGAGGTTCCGAATGAGTTTTGGGTGCTAAAACGAAAATTCTTTTATTGCTGATTTTCTGGTATAAAATAATTACAAAAATGTCATTTTTGTCTCTTAAATTTTCAGATTTCCTTTAAAACTTCAAAATAACCCCTATCTTTCTCATTTTAAGGCCAAATTGAGTGATTCAAAAGGCTATTTGGGCGTAATCTCGCAAGGATTATGTTGGGCTTATCAATATGAGTTTTGGAGTCATCTTGGATCTGATTCGAGCTATAATAACTGCTGCATTTTTTACTTATTCCGGAATTTAGTCACTTTTTGTCACATGGTTTTGGAACTCGGATTTGAGCGATTTTGGAGAGAATTTTTATCACATGGATTGGGGTAAGTGTTTTCTACTCTGTTTTGATTATATTCTATGATTCCATCTTCGATTTTGGCATTTGATTGATAATTTCAAAAGAGAAGTTGGGGTTTTTGTCTAAACTTTCCTAAAGTGAATATTTGAGTTTTGAGTATCGATTGGGAGTCGGAATTGAGTGAAATTAGTATGGTTGGACTCGTAATTGAATGGATTGTCAGATTTTATGAGTTTTGTCGGGTTTCGAGGTGCGAGCTCGGATTTGACTTTTTGGTTGACTTTGAGTAAATGTGTAAAGATTCGATCTTTATCAATTGGGTTTGCTTCCTACGATATTATTTGATGATTTTGAGTTGCTTTTGGCTAGTTTCAAGCCGTTTAGAGGATGATCTGAGCGGGATGACGCTTCTAGTGTATCAATTGGGCTTGTTTGAGGTAAGTGTCTTGCCTAACTTTGTTGGAGAAATTTTTTCTACTAATTGCCATTATTTTCTACATGCGTGGGTGATGCATATATGAGGTGACGAACGTATATGCATGCTCAGGGTAAATTATATGATTAATTGTGCCTTGTAGAATTACGTGACCTTCTTGTTTCATGTCTTACTTGACTTCTAGACTACTAAGAATGTAAAATTACATACTAGAAACTAAGATTTGGCTTATTATAACTTGATTAAAATTTGACGAATTTTCATGAAACTATTGATGTGTTAAATTCGGTCATCACTATGCTTAATGTAATACCCCAATATTTTAAGTGAGAACATATTAGACATTTAGAAAATAATTAAAGTCCAAAGAAAGGAAAAAAAAGAAGAAGAAAAAAAAAGGGGAACAAACTAATAAAACAAAACAAAAAAAAGAAACCTAGTCAAATTAAAAGAAGGGGCAAAGCCCACTGGAACTAAAAGAAAAGGGTAAAAGGGGAACGCAACAAGCTTGCGGCTAAGACAAACAGAAGCAAAAAGGGGTTGAAAAATAAGAGGAAATCCCCTTTTGGCTAACGCACAACGAAAAAAAAACGAAAAGGGGAAAAAGTTTTCTGGTGTTGCCTCGTGCAAAATATTGTTTCCATTCAAACCATTGGCATATAATCTTTAGTCTGAGCGAAAAGGCCCATGTAATTACATATATTTTCTTTCTTTCTGAAACAATAGTAATTTATATACATGATTCCTCGCAAGACTAAGTAAATATAATGTGAAATTTGATTCTGAGTTAGAAGAGGAGGTTAGGGAACTGAGAGAAATCCATAAGCCTTTTCATGAATTAAGCGAATATATTACATGAATACGCTAAAAAGTTATTGATTATGGACTAGTTAAATTACTCATAGTATGGGTATATACAATTCAGCAAATTATGGTCAAACATGAACCTCTGAGGGTTAATATATATTTTAAAATAGTTATGAATTAGTTTAAACTAGATAATTGACACGAGATTGATATGACGTGATTATAGATTGATCGTAGGAAGCTGTGCGGTTCGCTCGAGGTGACGGGTTTGGTATATGACACGAGTATTATGAGTAGCGATCTTACCACAATTGTGTTTTCATAACCTGCATGGTTTATGCGTTATTTTGAAAATAAATGTGTTACCGAATGTTTGAAATTGCATGTGGGACAAGTCCTTTACTTGATATGGTACTGAATAGTTCACTGGAGATGTTTATCGTTATTTAAAATGTTCGCACTGTTATTAAACATGTTTTAATGTTACTTGAGATATGGTTACCATTACTGAAATGGATTTACATGATTTGACAAGAATTAATATGCCCTTTATTATTTTGAAAATGCTTTCTTATGAATATTTAATGGTTACAAGAGAAAAGTATAAATGGGGGGAGACTTTGAAGGATCCCGTAGCTAACGGCGGGTTCGTTAGACCCGGTGCACCTTGTATTTACAGATTACCGATTACAGTTATAACCCTCGCTAGTGCGAAGGTAGAACTAGCATACAGTTACAGTTTTCCCTCTAGTATGGACCTACAAGTTATATTTGACTCATTTTACGAAGGGATCCACACAGTGATACAGATTACATGATCTTTTCTTGAAAACCTCCCAAACATAAAGATTTGCTATGAGACAGTGTCTACCATGTTTATTATCGATTTGTTAAATTGATTTCTGTCACAGGAAGTACATGAATAGACTGGTTATATTAACCGTTTTTGAGAGGGCATTTTATTTTTATGATAGTTTCTGATTATTATTAAACATGCATGCTTTCTGACTTGTCCCCAATTAAAAATGGTTGTGGTTAAGTGTTATTACTCACTGAGCTAGCGACTCACTCCCCGCTATTTATTTTTACAGAGACAGCAGTTGACGCGAGCGAGAATTTTGTTAATTAGAGTACACGATTTGATAGTTCCTGGTGAGCCTCGCACTTGTTCGTGTGGGCAAAGAGTTTATTTATTTGTTATTGTCTTTTCTTATGAACTCTTAGAGTCGCTCCATAGTCATTTTTATTAGTGTCATGAGCATTCATTCGTTATATTGGACTAGTTACTAGTATTATACTTCTTTCTGTATTTTTGAGATGAGTTTAGTATTATTATGTTGATAAGGTTGGTAATGTTGGTGAAGACTCGTTTTTGGTTAGTTGGTGAAGATTGTGACTGATTTAGGTGAATATGAGTTGGTTGTTATTTGTTTATGAGACTGGAAAACTTTTAGATAGTCCTAAATTAGGGAAAACTCTGTCCAATTTTCTGTAAAATAATGATAAGGCTTACTTGGGGGCACTTGCTCCCAAGTGTCGGTCATGATCCTACATTGGGTCGTGACACTTAATCACTAATACATCGCTATGACCGTTATTCTTGAGATATTGGATTCTATACTTGAATTGAAGATAATTTTTTAGACTTGTTGAAATACTTGCACAATAAGGTTCTTGAGGTTTATTGAATTGTTATTGGCTTGAAAGTTGTGATTGATGTTCATTTGGAATATCTGCTTAAACACTCTCCTTGATGTTATTCATGCTTCCTACCTTGCTTGTCATTAATATACATGTGCTTGGAGAGGAAGAGTGTAAAGCATGAAGGGTGATGTCGTGCCATTGTATATACATTATCATGTGAGAAAGAGTGTAAAGCACGAAGGGTGATGCCATGCCATTTCATTTACATCATCATGTGAGGATGAGAGTAAAAGCACGAAGGGTGATGCCATGCCATTTCATTTACATCATCATGTGAGGATGAGAGTAAAAGCACGAAGGGTGATGCCGTTCCATTTCATTTACATTATCATGATTTCATTTACATTGTCATGTGAGGATGAGAGTAAAAGCACGAAAGGTGATGCCATGTCATTTTATTTACATTGTCATGTGAGGATGTGAGGATGAGAGTAAAAGAACGAAGGGTGATGCGTGCCATTTTATTTACATTGTCATGTGAGAATGAGAGTAAAAGCACGAGGATGATGCCGTGCTATTTTATTTACATTATCATGTGAGGATGAGAGTAAAAGCACGAAGGGTGATGTCGTGCCATTTCATTTACATTACTATATTTTTATATTATCATGTGTTCATGGCACAAAGGGTGTTTCCGTGCAGACGAGGACGAGAGACATGCATTATGTGGTAATATCTTTTCCTTGTGTATACATCCATGCCTTTATCTTGAGTTGTTACTATTGCACCTATGTTTTCTATGTGACTTGTCGTTGTTGTTTTGTCTTTGTCCTCTATCTCAATTGTTGTTGTGTTATCCATGACTTCTATCTGCTTAACTTGCAGATATCATGCTTTCTTTCTTGTTTTTCATATCTACATCCATGTCGTTTCTCATTTGTTGCACTTTTGTATAAGCCTTCTACCATGTTAGTTACTCATGCCTTCTATTTGTTTAGCTTATAAATATCACGCTTTCCTTCATGGCTGTTATATCTACATCTAAGTCTTCTACCATGTTAGCTAGTAAAATTTATGTTCCTCTATCTTAAATGTTATCATTACTTCTATGCCTTCTATCTAGTCTATTATTGTTTCCCATATACAATGCGTTGCTCGTTATTGCTTCCTGTGTGTCTCCTACTTTATCGTTATTGTTATTGGCATTTCTTTTACCTGGTTGATATTGTTATACGTATGCTTGGTGAGAAAGAAATAAATGCACGAAGGGTGTTGCCGTGCCAATTGATTTGACCTACATTCATATATTTGGTGAGGATAAGATAAATGCACGAAGGGTGTTCCCGTGCCATTTGATATCTTGAGTACATTTCTCACACCATGAAACTTAGGAATTTACTACCGTGATTTCTTCTAGTAATCATTTACTACTTCGCATAGTTGTTTTCTTGTACTCTTATCTGTTATGTTCTAGAATTGTTTCTATTGCTAGTCTACCGAACATGTTATAACAGTGAGTATCTTTTAACTAAAAAAAAATCCCCGCCACTACTTCAACGAGGTTAGACAATATACTTAGTAGGTACATGGGGTCGGTTGTACTCGTACTATACTTCTACACCTTGCGTGTAGATTTTGGAGCTAGAGTCGCTGTGTATGGCGGGAGCTGGCATTGAAGATATACCTGCGTTCCGACTATAGCTGCCACTTGTCCTTGGTAGCTTTAGATTTTGCTAATCTATTTATGTAAACTTCAAACATATGACGTATTTATTCGTACCGGTTTTTTTTTGTTGTAAATTCTAAGTCTTAGAAGCTCATAATTTGTACTACCGGTCCTTGCGTTATTGTATAAATGTTCCGATAATTCTTCACTGTTTTCTTATAAATCTCATTTGGATTGTATTGATTGTTAGTTGGCTTACCTAGCGGGTCGAGTTAGGTGCCATCACGACTAGTGAATTTTTGGGTCGTGACACCTTATCATTTTTTATACGCGGCATGATCCTATTGGATCTTTTAATTGACTTGGTGTGCTATGCCATTTGACACGCGGCACCAAACTTGACCTCTAGGAAGATGATATCTTAAGCTAAATGAAGTGGGCTCATCACTTGTAGCCCAATTAAATGGGCTAGCCCAATGAATTTGGACTTATTTATTAATCCATATATATTGGACTTATATGGCTAATCCAATTATATTAGCACAATAAATTTATTTAAACTAATATATCTTGAGTTTAAATATAGTCCAAATCATTATATGAATTTAATTCTATTAAAATTTACGTGCCTACACTACCATTCAACTATGCCTATTATTTGGTCATAGATGGGGGAAAACTTTACTGTTCTTTGGAACAGTGAAACCGAAGTCTTGAGATTTTTGTGGTAGGGGTAAGGGTGCTGCTAGATCATGTCTCATGGTTTCTTTTACAACTGCTTGAAGGTATAAGAGTTTTATTTGTCAATGTATGATTTTTGCACTGAATTTCCATGCCTACTTGTTAAAGAATTTCTTCTTGTACTCCGTGTAAATCTTGAGGTTATCGGATCAGTGAACTGCCATTGCCCAAAGATTAAGCTATTTTTTTGTTTGTTTGTATTGCTTCAGGATAAATAGTGGAGATAAAGAAACACTAAGGTCAGCAAGACAACTACTAGGAAAAACACCAAAAAGGATTAAAACAAGTAAGTAGTAGTAGAATGTATTATTTATTCTTATATGCGGAATATAGAATGTAATTATAGCCTGAGTTTAGCTTAAATTAAAAGTTTTGAGTATAATAAAGGAGAGAACAAGAAAAGATATTGTCACATTTTAAAACCACTCAGCCTACTTGCACGGGGCAGGTATAAGTAGAATCACGGAATCCCCTAATGAAGACAGAAAAATTGCCAAATCCACGGTTGGCATTTTAGAAATAACAACATTCTTTTTGGAAGCCAGAAAAATACACACACACTAAGAGGTACGTCATACGCGAGTGTCATGGAAATGGACAAGGTATGACGTTTTTTTAATTGTCTGTTTTCAGGATTTGTTAGACAGAAAACACACACGATGGATTTAAAGAAATAGTACAATGTTATTAAAAAGTTAGAAGTAAAACAACAAAATGGCAAAAAGAGTTTAATATAAAATTGTAATACTAGCTAGTGGCATTTTCCATGCCCCATTTTCAAAAGATGGAGCTGGTTTTAGTAAGTCTATATAAGGAGTTATATTTCTGTGCATCTGTCCTCAAGATACAAAAATGGAACTTCACAATATCCTTCTCTTCTGCGTCTCACTTTTCTGCTGGTTCTTCCTCAAACCTTAAATCCATTCTAAATCCAGAAATCTACCACCTGGCACTACTAGAAATCCGGTAAAAACCGACCAATGTTGGTCGGTAATGACCAAAAACCGACCAAAATGCGACCATTTACGTATGGACGGTATTTTTGTGGTCGGAAAGGCATACCGACCAAAGTTGGTCGGAAATTACCGACCAACTTTGATCGGTCAATTAAATTCAAAAAAAAAAATATTGCACAAAAAACCGATCAAAGTTGGTCGGTATTTTAATTGTGTAATAAAAAAATTCACCATCTGGGAATCGAACCGGGGTCTGTAATGTGGCAGGATATTATTCTACCACTAGATCATTGGTACATTTTGTTTTAAGACTATCTTTTATTTGATTTATACTCTTTAATTGTATTTTCGCACGAAAATAACCGACCAAAGTTGGTCGGTTTTATTAAAAAGTAAAATTACCGACCAAAGTTGGTCGGTTTTTTTAAATGACCGGCCGAATTAACCGACCAATTTTGTTCGGTTTTTTTAATATTAATTTTTATTTATTTTAATTAAAAAACCGACCAAAGTTGGTCGGTTTCTTGAAACATAATTTCGCGGGACTCAAAAATAGTTTCCCGCATTTTTGCGCCAAAGAAAACTGACTAAAGTTGGTCGGTTTCGTAAAAAAAAATTAAAAAAAAAATATTTTAAAAAACCGACCAACTTTGGTCAGTTTTTTGGTCGATTTTTTGACCGACCAAAGTTGGTCGGTCGACCTTGGTCGGTTTTTGCCGAATTTCTAGTAATGTGGTCCCGCTGGTCTCCCCATAATCAGTTCACTACTAGAGCTAGGCTCAAGACCCAACCAATCACTAGCAGAGCTTGCCAAAATCCACGGCCCTCTCATGACTCTTAAACTTGGTTCAGTCACTACCATAGTTGCCTCCTCACCTGAAACAGCCAAAGAGATCCTCCATAAACACGACGTAACTGTAACGACCCGACCGGTCGTTTTGAGTATTACAGCCTCATTCCCCCATCTACTGCTCAATTTTTGCTTTACAGTTATATAACTTTCGGAAGTAATTGGTTCGGCTCCGGAAGGATTTCGGAGTGAAATGAGACACTTAGTCTCATAATTAAAAATTTAAGTTAAAAAAGTTGACCGAACGTTGACTTATGTCTAAACGACCTCGGATTTGAATTCTAATGATTTCAATAGCTCCGTATGGTGATTTTGGACTAAGGAGCCTGTCCGAAAAATTATTTGGAGGTCCATAGTGGAATTAGGCTTGAAATGACGAAAGTTGAATTTTTGGAAAGTTTGACCGGGGGTTGACTTTTTGATATTGGGGCCGGAATCCGATTCTGAAAATTGGAATACCTCCATTATGTTATTTATAACTTGTGTATAAAATTTGAGGTCAATTGAACTTGATTTGATAGGTTTCAACATTGAAGGTAGAAGTTGGAAATTGTTAGTTTTCATTAGGCTTGAATTGGAGTGCGATTTGTATTTTTATTGTTGTTTGATGTAATTTGAAGTTTCGACTAAGTTCATATGATATTTTAGGACTTGTTGGTATGATTTGACGGGTTCCGAGGGGTTTGGTTGTATTTTTGGATAATTGGTTGAGAGACTAGTAAAGTTAAGAAATTTAGGAGTTTGACCATGGTCAATATCGGCTTAAGACGACCTCTTTTTAGTTTTTTGAGTGGCGAGCAGGTCCGTAGCATGTTTTATAATTGAAATTCATATATGGTTTGTGTCCGAGAGGTTCCGGATGAGTTTCAGGGTGGTTTCGGATCATTTCGGAGAAGTTTGAGTTTGCTGGTTTCTAGTGAGGTACTGTTCATTCGCAATTGCGAACAATTTATCGCAATTATGAAAACACTGTTCACTCGCAATTGCGAACAATTTATCGTAATTACGAACACTGTTCATGGGGGTACTGTTCATTCGCAAATGCGAAGTTTTTTTCTCCGCAAATGCAAACCTGGACAGAATGTTTAAGATCTGATTTTCCATTTTTGACGAATTGGAGCTCGGAAAGAGGCGATTTTTGGGATATTTTTCAGGCAAACAACAGGGTAAGTGTTCTTAACTCAATTTTAGTTAAAATACTCGAATACTCGAATCCATTGCTATTTTTATCTCTAAATGAGTGAATTGGGTTGAAAATGGTAGAAATTTTCATAGAGTTTAATTGAGGATTTGGAGGTCGAGTTGATGTCGGAATTTGGTAAAATTTATATGGTTGGACTCGTGGTTGGATGAGCGTTCATATTTTGTAACTTTTGTCGGGTTCCGAGACGTGGGCCCCACGGGCAATGTTTGAGCTAAATTTCGAAATTTGCTGGAAAATTAGTATTTTCGTATGGAATTAATTCCAATAAATTTTATTGACTGAATCGAAGTAATTGTGGCTAGATTCGAGGCATTTGTAGGCCAATTCACGAGACAAAGGTATAGAGGAGTAAAAAACCACACAGTTTGAGGTAAGTAAAACTTTTAAACTGGGTTCTGAGGGTATGAATCCCTGAATTGGTGTTATACAAACTATTTGGAGGTGACGCACATGATAGTTGACGAGCGTGTGGACGTGCACCATAGAAATCGTGACTTGAATAAATCCTATGAAGTTGTAAAAATTAAAGAATCATGTTATTATCCGAATATTTTTCACGTGTTAAAGAAATTGAGTTGAGGCTTTTATTAAAGATTATGCTTAGGCTACGTGCCAATATTTTTGGGATCCATGGGGTCGTGTTGCTGTTGAATTAATTATTTCAAAAAATATATATAAAATATACATTTCACACTCAGTCATATTCGTCCATTGTGAGGATATTTATGGGATCGAGCTACGCGCCGCAGCATGCCATATTGGCTTTATACATGTTATCATTAAATAAATCGGGGTTGCCCGCCTGCAGCAGGCTATAATGACTTTATATATTATTATTATATGGATCGGGGCTGTCCGCCTGCAGCAGGCCTTATAGGCTTTACTATTTTATGGATCGGGGCTGTCCACCTACAGCAGGCCTTATAGGCTTTACTATTTAATGGACCGGGGCTGCCCGCCTGCAGCAGGCCTTATAGGCTTTATTATTATACGGATCGGGACTGCCTGCTTGCAGTAGGCCATAAAGGCTTTATATCACGCTTGTGCTGAAGGAGCCCCTCCGGTGTCTGTACACACCCCCAGTGAATATATTCGGGATAGATTTTCCAGGGCATGGACTTGCCTTATTTATATTGTAATGAATTTACTTGGACATGGATCTTGTCCGTATCATTTATATTTGGGGATAAATTACCCCAGGGCTGGATTGGCCTTATACGGTACTGAGTGACTGACTGTCGGTCGATGTGTGTTTAAATATGGGTTGGAACACCCCCTGGGCTGAATTGGCCATAAAAAGTACCGAGTGATCGAATAATTTGTGACCAGTATTTACATGAGGTCTTTCTACTAAGATGTCATATACCTCATATAATGCAGTATTGATCTATTTCACTTGTACTGAGTTTAACTGTTAAACTTGAAAACATGCCTACATTTTTGTACCATTATTTATACTGGACTGTCCCTGCGGAGCTCGTCATTGCTTTCAACCCAGAGGTTAGCCTTGTTACTTATTGAGTTAGTTGTACTCATACTACACTTTGCACCTCGTATGCAGATCCAGGTGCTCCCAGACTACACTTTGCACCTTCCTGTTTAATTATTGTTCTGTTCTATATTTTCAGACTGTGATTTTATCATTCAGACTTTGCATTCATATTAGATGTTCATATACTCAGTGACACCGGGTTTTGGGAGTGTTTATATATATATTTGTGAATTTTCTTTCGCTGAATTTAATAATTATGTTTTCAAATTTAAAAGATATGGTAGTTTATTGAGATTGTCGGATTGCCTAGTAGTGAGATAGGCGCCATCACGACAGGTGAGATTTTGGGTCGTGACAAGTTGGTATCAGAGCCTAGGTTACATAGGTCTCACGAGTCATGAGCAGGTTTAGTAGAGTCTTGCGGATTGGTACGGAGACGTCTGTATTTATCTTTGAGAGGCTGCCGAACCCTTAGGAAAATTTCGCTTTCTTGTATTCTATCGTGCGGAATTGATTCAGCTTGAAACATAACTCTTTGAATGCCTTCCACGCATTCGTGTGCGCATGTGAGCGCTCAGTATCA